ATAGAATTCAGTAAGGATGTAGAATTATGACATCTAATAAATTCAAGTAATTCACATATTAAATCTTGTTCTACTTTCTGATTATAAGGGATTTTTGCCACCTTGATCTCTGATAAATTAACCTGTTTCTCTTCACTGTGAAGCGATTCAGAAGTAGTTAGGGATGAGTCCTGGGAAAGCACATGCGATTGGCTAAGTTTCTTTTCCCGATTTCTCTGCCTAATCTCATTACTAACCTTTTTCTTATGCATCTCATCCAGGAAAGCATCCGTCTCTCTAACATCCTCCAATGATTTACTGTTAAAGTGTTTCGCAGATTCGGTAGTATTATACTGGTCTGCAATAGGCGATATATTAATTTGATCTGCTGAAAGCACTAAAGGCAAAGGTATTGAATCGATTAGAGACTTTAGTATAGATGTATTGCTTTGTGCTAAAATATTAACAGCATTTTGTTCCTGTTTGATTTTCCTGATATCATCATCTAATTTAGCAATAAGGGTGGTCTTTTCTTTATCTTTCTGTTCTAGGTTCGTGAATCTGGCTTCATGTTCTTCCAAAGCATGCTTTAACTTCACATTCTCAGCCTTGACTTCGGTATTCTCCTTTCTAAGTTCTGTAACTTCGGCTAAGAGCTTCAAATTTATCTTTCTCAACGAATCGATCTCAGATTGCATGTTTGATAATATTTTTTTTATACAAGATGGAATAATTCAAAAGTTCGAGTTAGTATAGTAATGGATAAAAAATCATGTGCACGTAAACAATTGTTCACACTGATCACTTTTGCTAAGAAAATTAAATACAAAAGTCCAGGACTAATGTTTGTTCACTAAAGTGAACGAGTAATATGCGATAAGATATCTCGTTGCCTCTCCCTCTCTCTTTCGAGGTGACGATAAATTTTTTTGGCATGCTTGAAGCAATAGCCTATATAAGATAATGTAGGTTTATCACATATTCTACATGGAGATTTTAGCATATTATTTGCACCCGATTTCCAGTGGAGTGAGCATCCCGCCAAGCGGATGCAGACTCGACCACAAGTGCTCCCATCCTTTCTAATATGTAGGTAGGTAAGACAATCCATTTATTATATTCTTGCACCTTTCTCATTATAGAATTCGAATTTCAAAATGGAAAAATCCGAATTGAACTTGGGTGGAAAAAGTATAACATAAACAAAAAATTTATACCACATCATATTACTTGCATTTCTATGGATACACAAAAAACAGTACTCAATATTTTGTCAGATTGATGGATCGACCCAAAAGGAAAGCTATTCCAGAAGTTGATTCGTGAAAGCTATAAATATGTTGATAGACTCAGATTATTTGGAAGACATTGGGATTATATACGTCGGTGAATTTGAGCTGGATCCCTTAGCTGACTTCTACCACTCAACTCTAATTCCACCTTTATCAATCTTAGCGAGTAGAGCAATTATTCGTAAAAATTTTCCTATTAGTGTAGAATCTGCGGTTGTAAAAGGAATAAGTTTATTCACTCTTGAAAAAAATAAACAATCCTCGCTCCAGAATCTAATCCAAATGAACTACAGTAACTTAACTACGTTAATAGAAATAACTTGGGAGCAAGAAGAGATGAAAACTTGGAGGAACGACGTGTTTATGAAATTCCTTCATCATTCGAATTTAGCCTCTTCAAAGTACAGGCCAAATTCTTTATATGATGCATTCACTAAGACAAATGCTTTAAGACTGGAACAAATATTAGCTCTAATGCGAATGCAGGCATTTTATTAAAATGTAATATAAATTTGTATATAGCCACGGAACCCCCATTCCATGACTATATTTTTTTTCGCTTATCATATTTACCTGCAAAATTCAATTTTTTTTTATTGATATAATATGAAAAATAAATACAAAGGATCAGGACTTTGCCTGTGATACATAACGATTCTTCTATGCTAATGTCTACAAACTTATACCGCCTATTTAATATTCCTATTTCGAATTTGTTTTTGCGAGATCGCCTGACCTTACCCTTTTTATTTCCCTCTCTCTGCTTCCAGTAATTTCCTCCAGTTTCTATGTCTCATCCAACAACCAAACAATATGACCGAGAACCCTTTCCACCTTGATTTGCATATTTTCATCATTGTACTCTACAATCACTAGTTCTGACAGCTTGAACGATGGCTTTCTCTCATCATCAAGCGTGCATTCCATAAAGTACCATTTTTCTGCATCGGTTACAATCCTCCATACTTTATCCATATCATATTCTTCAATTTCATTGGCTTTGCGCTTACAACATGTTAAGGATGATTCCATCTGCACAGTAGCTTATGCGAAGCCTGTTTAAAGTCATCTCTTTTGATCTCGACAAGCCCAGCTATCCTTCCAGTTGAACAACACTCTATCGCTAAATCTAGGTTTTCCTGACTGTTATGCTCCTTGACAAGTTTTCCCGTACAATTTTAAAATTATTCTTGAACAATGATACACCACTGGCTAAGTAACAGTACAAATAGATAGATTTCGTCACCTCATATGCCAATATCAATGGGTTGTCTTTTTACGAAGGTCCAATTCAGCCATTAGATGCTTAAGCACGGCTTTAGACTTTTCGTTATCTAGGTCAGCAGAACCACAATGAAAACGATGGTACACATCAATGTCAGAATTCGGGTTATCGCTAAGCTCATAGAGCTCACACACTTTAAGGAAGGTCCAGGAGTTAAATGGTTTTGATAGCGTCTCGATGAATACGGTAAACCTGAAGATACCCTTCGACACGAATCTGCATAGAAATTCACAGAGTTCTTGATCGTTTCGAGGCGAATATTTGTTTTCATCATTCATGAAGTTGAGTTCCACCCCATCATTTTCAAGTGCGGATTGTTTATACATCTTACGTATATAATCTTTGAGGCCACCGAGAGATGCTTGCTCAATATTCACCGCCTATTTGTACACCTTCTGTTTCAGTCTTACGACGATATCGAATTCTGAAATGCAACTGTCAGAGGTTAGTAAATACTTTCTGGTATATCTGAACGAGGTGAATTATTGGGCTACATACCATGTTCCGACTTGCTAAGTTTCTCCTTCAACGAGGCGATTTCCTCAAGCAGTTCCTGTTTACGGCTTGAAGCGGTAGTGGCCTCTGGCGGAGAGACTATGACATGAATATGTTTCTCGGGAGGTGAGTCAGGGAAGTATTTCGAAATCTTTCTTATTGCTAACAGCTCTTCACTGCCTTGAAGTGAGAGATTGCTTAAGGGATTGACATGATCGTCAGAGATTAGCACTTTCCATAGCCTGAGCTTGTCTGCAGGAAAATTGTCAAACTCTGGTACCTTTTCCGCCTTAATAGCTTTCTTTAATTCACTAACAGGTTCGTCCCTGCTAATTTTAACAGAGAAAGCGTTCGCTAGAGTATTTCCCTTAATGAGACATGGTAAAGTGATAGACATATTTTCGGCTTATATAGTATTTTTTACGAAATGTTATTGGCTCAAAGTGCGATATGTGAGGACAAGAGTAAAAAGAATTTTATTTGTGAAAAAAAATACTGAGTGAGTACTATATGTGAGAAATTATTCTGTTTCACAAGCCTGCCGTATGATCAACAAATGCATGATGCAATGATCACCTAATCACTGCGCCCCACTAACTGTGAAGACTCTTCTCACTTATCACCTGATATAGTGCTACTTTTTATATAGGCTAGATTGGTTCAGATAAAAATGTTAGATTTATAGTCCTGATATTGCATGGTGGTCGGGAGTAAATACACCCCCACATCATTACATGTGACATTTTTCAAGATTTACGAAGAACATAATATATGCTTTATTTAAGAAATAACGTTGCTGGAAGCCTGCTTACAATACATAAAAATTGCGAATAGATCACTTTACATTATATGAATAAAAAAATACTATTTTTTAACGCGAAAGGGTCTCCTATTCTTTTTCTACTTCTCAAACACCTGTTACCAAAGGTAGTGATGGTTAGTTTTCAGCTATAATATTAAGCAGATGGTCGTTTAAACCCCGCGTCTGGTTCTTCAAACACGACGAAATTAATTACTCACCTAACCTCTTTATATAATCCTTAACTTCTAATGCTTGTCTTAATGTTATTCTGTATTCCTTAAAATCTCATCCAATTAGCTTGAGAAATAAACCGCCATTGATTTTTCTTTCATGAATCTTTGGAAGAAAGTTATGGTGAATCTTTAAGCCTTCTGATTTGAAATCCTCCCACAAAAAGTTGGCAAGTCCTGCCGGTCCATAATTTTTAACCTTGTCAGCGTAGGTCTTTTTTTCTGCACTAGTAGACATCTAAATATAACTACCCATAGTGAGAAAAACTCGCTCCCATACATACACAACTTCTGGCATATACATACCTTATTTGACAGGAAATTTTTTCGCGAGAAGTTGGCTGAACTTCCGCATACCAGTATAGCTTTATATATCACTGAAAAGGGGAGTAAAAGGATAAACAAAGCAATTAGTATTGTCGTCTAATGCCAAGAGTTCTATGAAAGCACATGTAAATGAAATCCTCATACCTTTTCACATGTAAATCTACCGGAAAGACATATAGTTAGTTTTACGCCTAACGATCTCAGAATTGCAAGTCCTCAAGCCTTTTATAACATATGCTTTTGTCAGCACTATTTGCTTATATGGTAGGCCCTATGTTATGACTAGACGCCTTTTCACATTTTCTTATTATTTATACGGGAAAAAATTAGAGATAGTGGTTAGCATACATAACTTTCGATATATATGAAAAATAATGTTTTACAGACTGACCATGTGATCGGTCACTATATTATTGCATAGAAATCTATAGTTCAGCAAAATCTTCCGAGCTGGTGATCACCGCTCCAGTTGTTGATCAGTATTTTGGACACAAATTTAAATAATGCTAACTAGAGATAAACACAATTATGACAAGAAATACTAATAATAATTCTAATCAAGTCAATGCTCAAATTCAAGAAAATCTTAAATTGCGCTTATATGATGACCTACATGAAGAGCTTTTATATGAAGTGCTTTTATATAAGAAGAAAGATATAATAGCT